AGAGAGAGAGAGAGAGAGAGAGAGAGAGAGAGAGAGAGAGAGAGAGAGAGAGAGAGAGAGAGAGAGAGTCAGTGGTTTGACTTCATGTTCAGGTTTTATTTAGGTGAACACCACCACTGGCATCTCATAACATAATTCCGAGTCAAGTGTGACTTTTCTGACCTCCTACTTTTTTGTTCATTTCTTCAATACATCTCAATTCAACTCTTAAAGAAAAGAAATGGGCTCAATCACATTCTGTTGAAAAGAAGCATCTTATATTATCCCAACAAGTGCAAGCTGCCCATGAAAAGTCTAACAAAAAGGAGCCTACATACTTGAAAATAAATCCTTCAAGCAACTTGTCCCTTCACAGTGCGCTTTTGAGTACTTTTTCCCATTTAAACCACAACTACCTCCGAGCCTCTTTTTGCCGAGGCAGAAAAGAACTGCACGCCACGCTTTGCCAAAGCACCAGCACAGCGTTTTTTGTTCTTCCCCTCCCCGCCTTTTGCCTTGCGCCGCCAGCCATTGTGGTCCCATAGTACTGTTCATCTGAAGAACCCAGAGTGTTGCATTGTTTTATTTTTTTTATCTTGACGTTGTGTGGGAAAGTTAGTAGTGGTTTAAACCACCACTACCTTTCGCAAGCAAACTTGAAATCTCCTAAGAATGCGGTATATAACCTATACCACATTTTTCGGACGCAGGACGCCATACCAAAATGGCTGGCGGCCCCAGCCAAAACAAAACAAAGAAAAGGTCGCGCCAGCGCCTCGGCAAGAAGAGGCTTGGAGGTAGTGGTGGTTTGTAACTGAAATAGAATTGAAATTGCGGCGACCGCCTTGGCTAATGAATAGCAAGGACAAGGCAAGAGAAGTGCCCTCTAGACTTGATTGCCAGATCGCGACTGATTGCCAGAACGGATGAAGGCCAAAAGACACGAAGTGTATGGGTTCATCAGCATGGCCAACTGGAAGCATTTATTTCAAAATATCTGACTAACAATGCCCATATCAATGGCTCTCTCCAAGTGCGATATGATATGGCTGTATCAATGGTTCTCTGCAAGTGTGATATGAGCCACTGACAATGCCATATCAACAGCTGTCAGCTAATGCGGCATCAGAAAGGGGAGCTAAGTATCTGGGTTCCAATTCGCGGTTTTTATTATGATAGATAAATTCAGATGTGACCATGAAAGGCATTGAAGGTTTGGAGGGGATCAAGACTGCCTCCGAAAGCAACTCGTGCTTTTTACTATGATTATATGATAGATAAATATTAAACGCAGATGGGACCATGAAAGGCATCAAACGTTTGGACGCGATCACGGCTGCCTCCGAAAGCAATTCACGCTTTTTATGATAGATCAATTCAGGGCACAGCATGCATTGTAGAAATAACAATCTGTATAGAGTCTTCTTTCAAAAACACTGATAATGCCATATCAACAGCTCTCTGCAAATGCGATATCAGCCGTTGATATCAGTCCAAGCACTCCAAGGTGATAACTTGATAGTAAGTTGATATATATAAACCATGTTGACAGTGAAAAACAAAACAATGAAAAATGGGATGCGAAGGAAGGGACTTGACATCATGTAAAGAAAAACCTTCAAAAAAGTTCAAAAAACGTTATGCTTAATATTTTATGATATCCAGTACCATATGTGAAGAAAACCACAAATTGTAAATTGTCTGCTGTGTCCTCTTTCCCTTCCCCCCTCACCCCCTAATGAAAATCCCAGACCCCTGGATCATCACATTGACAAGAAAAAAGTACAAGAAAACAGCACACAGCTGGAGGGCCAAAGGGCACTTGCATTGCAAACCATCTAGTGCTAGAAATTGTATTGTTTCAGTAATAAACATATGAAGATGGGTCAATGTACTAAGGGCGTCGCCGCACGACACATGAAACGGAAATGGAAACGAGTGCATCTTCGCACCGAAGATGGACAGTTTCATTGGTTTGCTATAAATAGTAACGAGTGTATTTTGCCACCTTTCCTGGGCAGGTGCACTCGTTTCGTTTTCGTTTTCGTGTGCCATGTGGCGAGGCCCTAAATCTCCTACAACCACGCGACATAATTTACTTTGGACAAGTTTGGTAATTGGAATTGAAAATAACTTTACAGTTGAAAAATACGCTTAAATAGGTAGCCATCTTACAGTGTGACTGAAAAGTGCACCCCTTCTCATCATGGAAAAGAAATCCCTTGAGTACCTGAAGGCTGAAAGTAAATCTGAAATGGGAAGATTTCAGACCTATAAATAGTAGAAAGTACTAGAAACCTTTTTTTCCCATAAGCGGTAAGATGTGGACCGCCTACGGGAAGAACCAATAATTTCATTGTTCTTTCTCCTCTGTATGTATCCCTTTTTTGCACAAACGTTTGACAAAGCTGAGAGCAGCTTGATACATAAGAGAGAAGGAAAGGACTCAACTGGGATGGGGACATGTCTGTCATGGTTTACGAATGCTGTCCCGCAATACACATCGCCGATGCATCCACCACGTGCCTGTAATCAAACAATCAACCGATGGATCAGTCAAGGAGCCAAGAAACAACCAACCAATCAACCAATCAATCAATCAATCAATCAATCAATCAATCAATCAATCAATCGATCAACGGAGATCAACCATCAATCAACTGGAATCCGACCATGAACTAACTAATCAAGGGCCAACCAACCAATCACAAGCAAGCATGCAACCAACCAATCACCAAACCAAGTTCCAGAGTAGTTAGAAAGCACTCAACCCTCCTGCTTGACAGGCTCATGGCCAACCTGCTCATCATTGCTCGAAAATTAGAAATGCTCCACGTACACTAAATCCAAAAATACTAAATGTGAACTAAGAGAAACACTCCCATCGTCAGCCTACCAATTGCCATGCAGAAAGAAACCGCAGGACCACATGTGCACAGCATTTGAGGTCTAATCCTCTGGGTTTCCAGACTGGCAAAACCAATCACAGACCCTACATAAGAAGACCAGGCACCAGCTGCATCATCTTTTGGACTGGTAGCAATCGGTGGGCTGCTCGTGCAAGTAGCCAGAAACCAGTGCCATCAAGTGCATGTTGTGCAGGAGGGAGCGACAGGCATAGCTGGCACCTGTGCAGACCNGAGAGAGAGAGAGAGAGAGAGAGAGAGAGAGAGAGAGAGAGAGAGAGAGAGAGAGAGAGAGAGAGAGAGAGAGAGAGAGAGAGGTGACGAAGAGGGGAGAGGTCATTAGCAGAAGGGAGAGCAGTCTGAGGAGAGGAGAGAGGAGTGACATTCCCGGTTGCTCTCCTACATGATAGCTACAGTGGCGTAGATGCTTTGTTTGCGATTCACTAGGGGCAGCATTGGGCTATATGGCATACGACATCAAGCAGGTGGTAATGAATGGGCTAGAGAAGTCTATGTAATGAACCCGATGTCTTGGAGAAGCCAATCAACCATGTCATACAAGTCTGAACCCAGCGCCCAATATGATGTCTCCAACCATGTATGCAAGTACATAACTCTATTGAATACTCATGTCAAAAGCAGCGGGTCATCCTCGAAGAGCAGAGAGGAGAAAGATAGGAGTGACAAGACAAAGAGGAGGAGAAGAGAACAACAATAATCAATAATACATGTATGTTGCTCTTCTGTCCCACTTCCTCATCGGGCTTCTCCGCTATCGCCACCTCAGCAATGCATGATCTCTTCTGACGGCCACTGACATATCACTGCGCAGATCTTTGCAGAGCGCCCAACCTCCTCCCAAATTTCACATCAAGCTATGCAGGATGGAGCTATCCTTCGTCACCTTCGTCGAGACCAGCAGCAGATTAATCACGTTGATGCCAGGTAAGTCCAGGTAAGCTTCCCCTCGATCCTCACCTCAATCTCACAGTAAGATCCTCCTCCTCCTCGCCCAACCTCGTCTCCTACAACTACTGCTATGACTATGGCGGCAGTGGCCACTTCAGCATGTCTTCCCTCAAGGCTGGCGCCCTCCAGCAGCATCTGGCGCCAGCAGCATATCTCCCAGCCTCACGAGCAGCAACTTGGCCAGAAGCTCATGCAAGGCAGAATGTACCCCCCCCACTGGTCTGACCGTCCTTAAATAGCGTTGACTTGAGTTGACTGGCGTTGACCAGTCCCTCCTTTGACCGCATCGACGGTGCAGATTTCCCAAATCTCGACGGCCTGGATGCAGCCTTGAAGCCAAAATACTGTATCCCAGTTGGGACTGGAATCTTCTGGATACCTGCAGACAACCCTTGATGTGTATCTGATCTACGGCTGTGGCAAACAAGTGGGTTGACTTTGACTTTGGGCCTGCTTTTCCCGTGCTAGGACTGAATCTTGAATTTCCAAGAGTCAACAGCCTCATGTTGGGGTACTGGACACAGTTCTTGACTCAGGCCCTGATACCCCTTAACCCTATGCCCTTCCTCAGACATTACTCAGACTTGGGATGTGACCTTTGGCCCCCTGTTTCTTGCCTTTGATCAAAAGTGACGACCCCTGCCCGTGTCCGTGCTGATTTGAACGGCATTTATTGCAGCTACGACAAGGTGAATAATAACATTCACCGGTCAGTGGAGGAAGTGACCTGCAAGGCACATTAGTGTTATAATTATTGTTGTTGATGCCTCATTAACAGACCTCAAAAGTGCCAATGACCTTTGCATGTATGATCATTGCTTTGTCCATTCTGCTCAGTGCTTCACTGTTTAGCCAATGCTGGTTTCGGAGGACACACTGTGCTTGTGATTAAATCTTCTTTTCTTCATGCCCTCCTTGCACATGACTTCAACTTGTGATTAAAGCTTTTAGTCAATGTATCGGCCCAATCCATAACATTCATGATGAGATGATAATCACAATTATAATGACCACAAAATGAGCACTATGACGATGAGCACAATGACAATGGCCACAGTGACCGAATGACAACAATTTCTGCAAATTAAAATGACCACAAAACGATAACAACAACAGTGATGATGATGGCAGCAGCAACAAGAAGGAGGAGGAGGAGGAGGAGGAATGAAAATGAGACAAATGCCTTGAGTCTATGCTCACAAACAGTAATACAGACCAACTAATCCACCATAGCTCATAATGTGCACACTCCCCGACGTGTTTCGACTGGATATGATGCAGTCTCTTCAGGAACTGCTTTTCCATCTTCTGTGAGCGTTTCAGAGCTTCCCTTTGTACCTCGTCATCGTCATTATCATCATCATCATCATTATCATCATCATCATCATCATCATCACCATCATCATCGCCACCACCATAACCACCATCGTCATCATCCTCACAGCAGATTAGCAGCTCGGGAACTGAAGACGACAACACTGATCTCATGACCATTCCAACCCAGATGCCATGCTGAGAAATCGGCACTGAGAATGAACAAACCAGCTAGCTGTTAAAGATCAAACGACATTCATGTTGAGAAACACATTCCACAGATAGAATCTGGCATGAAGGAAGTATCCCCCTGAAAGAAAGGCCGCAAAGAAGGTTCAGCAGGAGGACTCGGAC